TATATATATGTTCCCATGCCCTGATATGGGGCTGGGGGGTGCGTCAACATGGCCGGGACATAGAAGGGGGTGCGCGGCTAAATAAGTTTGGGAACCGCTGGTCTAAATGATGATAACAGCTTTGCTATAGAAGAGACTTGCTCACTTCTATGCTTTATCTTTGAATGCAAACACAAATACACAAAGGGATCTTTCATAGAAGCATGCTAGACTTTTGCTCACATGTATCTCTTTTTGTTTATCTTCGCACGCGTATAGTGCTAAATGGCGCACAAACGTTGTTGTTAGATTTAAACAGTAAGTTTAAGTCTGTGAGTTGTTCATGCTTAGTTTCTTGTACTTTTGCAGATCTTTTTCCAGAAAAACACATCCCTGCTCCAAGGTCATTCATTATTCATGCGCTGTGTGATTGGTTTCTTATGTACGTCAGAAGCTAAAGCTACATTTGAATTGTTTACTGGCACTCTGGGCTTGTAATGAGGGACATTCTGCTGGGCAAAGTGAAATATGATGTGTTCCTTCCTCTTCAGCCACCCACTCCTCTCCACATGGCCATGCAGAAGGCGTGTGGTGCTGCAGACCGCAACAGGAGGCTGCTTCTCTTTGGAGCTCTCATTGGACAAAAACAACACATTAAGCTTCCAGGATAAGAATGATTGTAATTGTCCTTTTGGCTCCAGTCCTGTAGAGTTTTAGGAAACTTTTTATTGGTCTAAAAGTGTGTGTAAATGTTTAATTTATGGTGCGAGCAACAGGCTTCTTTACCGGGATTGTTTAACACTGTGAGCTCTAAAATATGACCAACAAGAACAGTTTGCTGAAATCTGATATGAAGTCGGATTTACTGCCTTGAGTTTACTAACGAAGGGCCTTAATGAGCACCTTAGACCTCTACATAAGGAGCTGCCTGACTGACGGGTCAAATGATGAGAAACTAAAGCAGCGAATGAGGAATTGGATCATTGCCCTGTTTGCCATATCAACTGGGCTCATATGAAGAGAGGTGAACTTTGAAGTGCCCTAATGGTCTTCATGGTCCTGTAAAAATACAGGCCTCTAATAAGGGTGTCAGTGGAGCCTGGCTGGAGCAGGGTGACCCATTAGGTGTAACGAGAGCTGCCCAGGGAGCAGAGGGTGGCTCGTCCTCCTCTCCAGAGCTGTTTGTTTATAATCTCTGACAGAAATAAAATGCCAGATAGGTGGACGCATGTTTTATTTTATGTAGCTCTCCAGTTTGACCTTTGTCTTTCTCTCCTTATCAGATCGAACCAGCAAACATTGGTAGCATCAGATGGTGTAAAAATGAGGAATTACGAAAGCAGGAATCTGTTTCAGTGTTTCATTTTTCCATTTTGTGACGTGTCCTACTTTCATGGTGACCAAAAGCAACACTGACGTGTCTTCTCAAGCCGTGAATCTGGTAAACCATAATGAGCACTATACAAGAACCACACTAACAAACACTTTCACTCATATTTAGTTTTTGTACAAGATTTAATATTAACTTTATGTTTGATAAATATTAAAGCACGGGAAAGCTACATAGTACTGTCTTAATTTTTTTTGTAAGTATTAAATGAACACCCAGCCAAAGAGAAGTTGCTACATGGATTTAACTAAAAATCATGCCTAGTGCCTACTGTACAAGCCTGTGGGGGCAGTGTTATGATCTGGGGTTGCTGCAGTTGGTCAGGACTAGGTTCAGCAACAGGATATGCTCCAAGAATGAGGTCAGCTGACTACCTGAATATTCTGAATGGCCAGAATATTCCATCTTCCCTGATGGCGCGGGCATATTCTAAGATGACAATCCCAGGATTCATCGAGCTCAGATAGTGAAAGAGTGGTTCAGGGAGCATGAGACATCATTTTCACACCTGGATTGGTCACCACAGAGTCCAGATTGAGAGTCTCATTGAGAGTCTTTGGGATGTGCTGGAGAAGGCTTTGTGCAGCAGTCAGACTCTATCATCATCAGTGCACGATCTTGGTGAAACATTAATGCAACACTGGATGGAAACAAATCTTGTGACATTGCAGCTTATTGAAACAATGCCACAGCAAATGTGTGCTGTAATTAAAGCTAAAGGCAGGCCAGTGACATATTAGAGCGTGCAACCTGTTTTTGGTGGATGCTTTTTGTTTGTTTTGTTTTTTTTGGGGGGGGGGGCAGTGTATTATGGAAAAATTGCAATGATATTGAATATTTATCTAAATCCATCCATCTATTTTTGGCTGCTGATCTGGGGTTGGGTGGCGGGGGCAGTTGCCAGGGAAGCCCAGACTTCCCTCTCCCCAGCAACTTGGGTCAGCTCCTCCAGAGGAATCCCAAGGCGTTCCCTGGCCAGCCAGGAGACACAGTCCTTCCACCGTGTCCTGGGTCTTCCCTTGGATATTCTACCGATCAGACATGCCTGGGAGATACCTGATCCTTAGGCCACCAAAACACATCCACTCAACACCTTGGCTGCACCCAGAAATCATGTCCATTTAAGTTATGAACAGAGTCAGTGACAAAGGGCAGCCTTGGTGGAGTCCAACTCTCACCGGAAATGAGCCCGACTTACTGCTGGCAATGCGGACCAAGCTCTGACACCAGTCATTTAAGGACCTAACAGCCTGTATCAAAGGGCCTGGTACCCCATTGTCCTGAAGTATCCCCCACAGGGCCTCTCTCACGCACCTTCCAGGATCTACCTCAGGGGGAGCCGGACCCTCCTCTCCAGAACCCCTGAATAGACCTTTCCAGGTAGGTTCAAGAGTGTGATCCCCCTGTAGTTGGAATCCATCCTGCAGTCCACCTGTTTAAATAGGGCGGCCATCAGCCTGGTCTGCCAATCCAGTGGAACAGCTCCAGATGTCCACACAATATTGCTGATCAGCATCAGCCAATGCAGCCCCACAACATACGTCAATACTTATTTTAATTTAAAACTAATTTAATCATTCGTAACTATTTGTCTATTTCAAAAGTCTGTATTTCAAACCTGTTTTAGAATCAAACAGCTTCTTTTAGCAGAGCAGGTCCATATCGTTTGTATTGGCCTATCATTCCATCTGTATGTTGACGATTGCCAGATTTACTCTCCATTGTGTCAGGAGAAAGGTCACTCTATTCAGTCCTTTGTCTCCTGTGTTAATGAGGTGAAGTCTTGGCTAACGTCCAACTATCTACATCTGAATGAGGGAAAGACAGAGCTCATTGTTTTTCACCCCAACAGCACGAATGTGGATCGTTATGCTGATCTTGGCCCTCTTTCTCCATACTCAAAACCAGTTGTTACCAGTTTGGGGGTGAAACTTGATGTAGGACTTAAATTTGACGCTCACATCAATTCTGTGATCCGGACCAGTTTCTTTCACCTGAGACGCCTTGCTAAAATCAAGCCTATGCTGTCGAGAGCCCACCTGGAGCGGGTACTCCATGCCTTTGTTATTTCTCGGCTTGACTACTACAACTCTCTATATGCAGGGTTGTGTCAGTCAACACTGCGTCGCCTACAGGTTGTGCAGAACAGCGCTGCCAGGTTCCTGACTGGGACCAGGAAACGGGACCACATCAGTCCAGTTCTGGCCTCTCTGCACTGGCTTCCGATTTGCTATCGCTCACAATTCAAAATCCTCGTCTTTGTTTATCATTTCTTCCAGGGTGGTGGTCCCCCCTATCTGGCCACTCTCCTGAACAAACATTCCCCATCACGTGCTCTGCGCTCCTCTGACCAAGGCCTGCTCTCTGTCCCTCGGTCTAGGTGTCGTACCCGTGGGGACCGGGCTTTCTCAGTCCTAGCACCGTCACTCTGGAACCAGTTGCCACCCTCAGTTAGGCTGTTCCCTTCTCTGCCAGTCTTTAAGAATCACCTAAAAACACACCTCCTCCGCTTGGCGTTTCCAGAACATGTTTGATTATGGCCCTCTTTTATGTTGAATCCATTCCACAGTTTTCATTGGTACACTCAATCCATCCACTCAATCCAAATGTGTTTCACACATTTGTCCTTTACCAGAATGTTTCATCTATCTTGTAATTTCCATTTTGTATTTTGTAATTTGTATTTTGTAATTTGAATTTCTTTTATTGTTGATTTATTCAATATATTTACATACAACTGTACAATGTTCAGCGCTTTGGGCTTCCTGACAGGGTTGCGGAAGGCGCTTTATAAATAAAGCTTGGATTGATTGATTGATTGATTGATTGATGATTGATTGATTGATTGATTGATTGATTGAAATAAAATTACTCAGAGTTTCTGTAATAAAAACTGTTTAAACTTTATAGTTTTCTTTAAAAGTGTGAGATACCTTTGATTTTTTATATAAATGCCTTTTTTAATAAATGCTTTAGTTATGTATATGACTTTGATTTTTGACATCCATGTGTTTATGTAAGTAAATGAGTCTAAAACGTGTCAGCTTAAGTCAGATTTTTTGTTTGGGAGAATTACCAGACTGGATGAGTAGCAAAGAGGACAAAATAGGACTGATGAGAGCGATGAAGAAGAAACAAAAGATGACTAAATATTACTTTCAGCCTGTTTCATAACCAATTCCTTTTTAGGATGATGGTTTTGTGACTTTATTTCATTTCAGCTGAACTAATTCAACATTAATAAAAGTTATTCCACAACCAGTGTTTCTTTTTACAGTAGGTTTTTTTATATCTTGAGAAAAGATTCAAGACATAAATGGACTTCCCAGTCATTTTTGAAGGGATTGTGTCTTTCATTTCAGAGTTTAAGACTAAACTCACAGATTTAATCAACTACTTTGCTTAAATCTTCAAAATAGTTCGCATGATATGGTGCCACTCAGGGTTAAAAACAACTCTCAGTCTTTACTACCCTTCAAATGTAGCTTGATGTCTGTAAAGCTGACTGACTTGTAGCCATTTCTGTGCGTGCTGTTGTTTATTTACTTTAGCAGCCATCATTTACTTCCAAAGGTCCTCATCAGGTCAGTTTCTAGATGTTTGTAATCCGTGAAGGCAAAATTGGGAGTCATTCATTTATAAGAAATCAATTTATTTCAAATTCAGCTGAAAACCTCCATCAATCGAGACAAAAGGATAAAACTGTACAACTTCAGCACACAAGGACATCTGTGATGCCACTCTGGATACTAAATGTAGATGGGTTTAGGAAACAGATGTTCACAGCTGGAACTAGAAGGAGACATGTGTCAATATCAAAAAGCCCTGCCAGTGCATTAAAATCTTGCATATTTGGCACCAAGAGGAAAAAACAATCGATTAATATACAAAAAAAATAAAAAAGCTGCTTAAAGCTGTAAAAAGAAGCAATTTCCTTTGTAGGTTTTATAAGATAATAAACAATAGATACATTTTTTGCCATTATTACTGTAATACTTTGTTTATCTCTGGAAGTCCATTATTTGACAGAGAAGCAAAACACAAACAAGCAAAGGAGCAACACCATTTATACTGTTCACTTTCGCACAAAATGACATAAAAACTCCACTTTTAATTGCTTCATTTCAGTAGTATCAACATGGATGGAGCTGCAGAGGAGAGGAGCTCTGAGGGAGAACCAAAATGAGAGTCAGACATCTCTTTACTTTGGACATTTTTCATCTTCATCTCTATATTTTATGGGTTTCAAGTCCTCTGGATTCTTTTTAATCAGTTAGCAGTAGTTTGAGTGCAGCCAATCAGCTCTGTGTGTAGATTAGGAATACAGCAAGTCTAAGGAAATGTTTGAAAGCTGAAGTTAGAGCATCAAAACTAGCTGACAATTCTTTGTTATATTTTAAAAGCTCAACATCATTACGTCCTGTCAGAAGAGACGTTTGATTATGCCAATCTGGGTTTTTCTGCTATGTGTAAAGAAAACAGGTGTCTGATGAAGACTTTAGACCCAAACTGCAGCCCAGCCCGGCCAACCCTAATCCTCCTCCAATCATTATGTTTCTGCTCTAATGTCACCAAGATGACCCCTGCCCTGACTGGGCTTCTGATTCAGCCTGCAGTCTGAGTCTACATCCCAAAGAATGAATGATGAAAGAGTTTCAGCACATGTGCAGCTTGTTCTCACCACACAGCCTGTGATTTACCGTGGTGAAGGACAACTCACACTGATGCTAATTAAGTTTGTCTCTTCCTACTGGTTGCTGATTGGAGCTGGCATGGCGAGTTGGTGTTGAAGGTTGCTGCATCATGTCTGCCAGTGGAGACACCGTTTCCTGTAACCTGAGCCCCAAAGCCTAGAAAAAGCAGTGGGCCCAGCTAACTTTGGGAGGGGAAATGACAGGTTGGTTTAAAATGACTGCCCAGCACACCGTATCTGTCGGTGCCTGATTAGCTCCACGTCGTTCTGCAGAGGCATGAACTAGCCTCCATAGCCTGGGACAAAATGGTTGGTTTGTGTCAAAGATGTAGTGCGAAATCAGAAGTGGCAGAAAATAAACTCTTAGCTCGTTGTGAGCATCTGGGATTGCTCTAAGTGAGTGGACTTGTTGTTAGACAGATGAAATGCTAACTTTGTTTAGAAATGCATTTAAACTGATTTATACAAAGAGAGCGAAGAGTTTAAAGTGACAGGCACAAATGTTGCTTACATGTGACTCGATGGGTGAAATGGGAGGAAATGGATTATCAGTTTATTTAGTTTTTCTGAATTTACCAGAATTCACGTGCTGATTTTAAATTAGTGTTTATTTTTCTGAAACATTTTGGTAAACATGATTTTCCTCATTAGGGTGTACATGGAGGATGTATAGGAAGCACCTCTGTGTATTATTATTATTTTAGCACATGCTGGTTGTCATGGTAACATTTGTTTTGCTTTCACTGTGCTGTTACAAGCTCTCTTCCCTCCATGGTCTCTCCTTGTTCATTATCATTAGTGCTCTCAGAAAACCTCCCCCCTCAGTGCTTGCTGATGGCTGCTCCGGAGATGGGGGGGGGCAGGGTGAAACCATATTGGGTCATCATGTGGCCCAGGAGATGGCAGCGCTGTGTTCCTTAGCCTTCATTCTCAGTGCAGCTATGCTAGAGGACTTGCGGTCTGGATCAACATTGAGGTCATAGCCGTTGATCCCCCCACTGATCCCGGCGCCCCCAAACAGGCTGCCCATGTGCGTCTGTCCCATGTGGCTGCTTCCTGGACTGGGAACGCCCAGGAAGTCGGAGACGCCTCCGGGACCGTGAGGGTGAGGGGGCATGCAGGAGGGAACTGAATCACAAGGCACAACGCAGCCAGGCACCGGAGAGGCTCCACTGGTGCTTCCAATCCACGAAGGGTTCTGGATCTGGAGAAGATAATCCGGAATAACATTTTAAGTGACTATAAAATACTAGAAGTGGATTGTTTACAATGTTTTGTAAAATAAATAAATAAATAAAAAAAACATACAAAAAATTTTAAAAATAAGACGGCATTCATGCTTGACTTTTCTATAATAATATCCTAAAATAATTTCAACACATCACAGAAATAGCCAGAAACTAAATGAAGAAGAAGATACTGCCCTGTTTGTTAGCAGAAATGAAAAACTGTACTTGATTATTAAAATTTAAACAAGAAAATCTTATGTTGATAAATGATACAGTCACAGCTCGTTTTGCCAAAATGTGAAAATATGCAATATTGCAAGCTATATTCAGATATGTAAATATTCTAACTGTGTTGTACAAGACTCTCAGCTACTAGTCAGAAAGTATCCATCAAACAGATGGCTAATGCCAATCAGCTGTGATGGTCGTCTCGACTCCACAAACAAATCAGCTTTTGATGGACAACTCGGCGATGATGATGTTTTACTAACACTACAGACCAACACGCAGGAAGAACCCGTTATTACCGGAGTAATGCCTTTCACTGATAAACAAAAAAAAAAGCTTGACCTGTTTAGCATCCTTTAACAATAATGTTATCAAAAGTAATAATATGCTGCTTCTGTTGCCTGATGTGGCCCATAAGTGGAGCTCTTGCGGATTAAATCAGATTTTGTCCATTTAAATACCCTCACAATCAGGTGCTTCAAATCACAAGCACGCTCTTGTGCTTGAATGAAAGGCTGCTTCTTTTCCATTACCTGTGCATAATTTTCCGGTCGAGCGAGCAGAGGCAGTTCGTAAGCAGTGGAGAAGTGCGTGCGGACCTGTTGCATCTGGCCAAAACGCTCTCTCTTCCTCCACTTGGCTCTGCGGTTCTGGAACCACACCTGTAAGGAAAACATTCCATCAGGAGAATAATTCTATCAAACTAAACATTACATGCATCTGTCAGAGCTGTTTGTTTGGTAGAAAACTGGGTCACCTGTTTTGTACAACAGGTCCAAGTAAGAAACTGAAGCTCATAAATTTTGGACAGTGAAGCAAATAAATTCTGTTGCACATGAAAGTCCAGGCCCAGTAATTCTAAGACTTGACGTGTCTTTAAAGTGCTGTCCATGCTGAGCTATTGATGTGAAAATGGTGAGTCTCCCCTGGTGCAGCATGTTTCAGCTCCTCCCTTTGATACTCGGCGTCTGCCTCCTTTCAGGCTGCCAGCGTCGACAGATCCACATCTGGGCTTACAGCTGTTCATAAATCACTCTCAGAAAGGTGTGCTGTCTCCCACATGTCAGCACAGCGGGTTGCAGGAGGGAATCCCTCTGTTTGATCCACAAAACAAGTACTGAACCTTTAACCAAGATGACTATTAACTACGATTTTTATCCCTGCGTGCGTTTATTAGAGATTATTTGTGGAGCTACAGGCAGAATCATCAGCAGTGAGACAGGAAGCTTGTCTAGAGACAGTGCTCTCAGTAATCTGCTGACAGATCAAGAGTCGACAACTCAGATCACCTGCTTTAATCTCAGAAATCATGGCCGAAAGGAAGATGGGAGATGTGAATAAAATTGTGTAATTCAGGCTAAATGATTTCCTGAAGTGTCACTATTCATGTCAGAAATGTGACATAAATAAAACATCCGTTTTATATCTAAGTATCAGTCCAACTATTTAGCTTTTTCACTGAATAAAGGTGTTTGATAGAGTTGGTGAAACGGCTAAAACTGTTCATTAACCCCCTTGTGACCTTTTAGATCATCTGAATCCTTTAAACCAAGTTGATGTTCTTGTTCCAGGTTTAAAATAAGACTTACATTACCTATATTTGTTTAGAATTTGGAAATTTGGGCACCGAAGTGGTCTTTAAATCTAAAAGGGCAAACAAGTCGGCATAGCGGTAAACATAATTTGCTGTTTCGTGGAAAGCCACTTGAGGTCAGTTCCTAAAAGAAACTCGGTATCCACACACTCTCATGTTTAAAAAGAGACCAAATATGCCACAAAACTACAGAATTTTAATGCCTCTGACACAATATAATCTTTGTCTTATATACCATATTTTGTCCAGTGAGTCAATTTTCATATCAGTGACTCGGGTAAAATGTGTTGAGTATGAAAGTTTGGATGACAGGTGATTTTTTGTTACTTATGAGGTACATTTTTCAGATTTTCTGTTAGATCAGTCCCCAGCGTATCGCTTCAGGCTTCCAAACCCAAAGATATCAGTGTGTAAAGCTTCCAGACCACAAACCGATGGTAGACGGACAGTCAGGAAGAGAAACAGCAGTAATGAGAGACCATTGAAATAGAGATCTTAGTTTGAGTCCCAAATAGAGATGAGATTTTCTTGCCCTAAAGTATTGTTTGGGTTCTTGTTATTCCTGTTTTAAGTCACTATTTGGTCATTTTAGTTAGGAAACTGCTTGGTAAGGTTTACTAAAAAAGGAAAGATGGTACTTTTAAAAAGCTGGACATCCAGTGATGATAGGACTGTAGTTTGGTTTAAATTATCTCTATATTTGAACAGGAGTGGTCCCACTTATGGATAAAATCTATTTTTGCAGGAAGTTCAAGTAGAAATGACATCGTGAAACAAAATAATAAGGTTTCTTATACACGACATGATCTTTATTTATCGTTGTGACCATCTGAAATGAGACTTTATGCATCATCCAAGTTCACAAATGTTTTCTTCTGCCAGTCACCAGAACTTATTAATAACTTACAACATGTCCCCACCATGAGTTAAAGGGGACATGTTAAGGCTTTTTTATTCCTGACTGGCACCAGGAGACATGAATACATCACAACAATTTTGGCTTATCTGCACTGGCTTCCGGTCTCTTTTAGAGTCAAGTTCAAGGTACTGTTGTTTGTCTTCAAGTCACTACAGGGCCGTGCACCATCATACATCTCTGATTTAATCACCCCGTACACTCCATCGCGAGCTTTGAGGTCCTCACAGCTGGAGTTGTTGGTCGTTCCATGTGTGCGGTGCTCCACCAGAGGTGGCAGGACTTTCTTGGTCTGGGCCCCAAAATTAAGGAATGACCTTCCATTAGAGATCAGACAAGCACCCTCTCTGCCAGTTTTTAAGAGCAGGTTGAAGACCCATTTTTACACCATGGCGTTCCACTGGCCTTCTTTTAGTTTGTCTTATATTGTCTTTTAAATAATATCTTTATTGCTTTAATCCATTTTGTTTTATTTTACTCACTGCATGGTTGCTGTTGTTTTACTCTTTTATATCTTTGTTGTGTGTACAGCACTTTGGTTCAATCTCTCATTGATGGAAAGCGCTTTATAAATTAAGATGATGAAGTTGATGATGATGATGATGATGATGATTAAATTATAATGATTCTATGGTCAATGCAAAACATGTTTATGAAGTTGTTTGCACTAAATCCTTCTCATATTAAACAATTTCAGCAGTTTTATTTGTGACAGTTTCAGTCCCTTTCAAAAATGAGCATTTTCAGGGTTCTGTCACTTTAAGACAGTGGTTCGCAAATGGCGGCCCTCGGGCCACGTCCGGCCCACGAGCCCTCTCTTTGTGGCCCCCAAACCCCCCGCGCACCCCCCACCCCCACCCCCGACGGCCGACCGGGAGATGTAGGATAGATAGAGCTGAGGAAAATAATCTAATAATCAATGCATGAGATGCGGGCATAAATGATTCTGCATCACAGAAGAGTACCATAATCAGTTATAGTGGAATGTAGTTTTGTTATTTTAACAGCGGCACCAGCACAGCATCCACATCTGTCAAAGCGGTGTTCTCCACATTTACCGGGTAGGAAACTTTGGTCTGCCTTTATGTGGTACTGCAGGGCTGAGCGCTGGAGTTGTAACCTGAGACCGAACCCGAACCGAATCAGCCCGATCAGTTCTGTTGGATTTGGGCCGTGAATTATGTTAATTGAGCAGGTTGCCACGCGGCGCTCTCCACTCGCTCGATCAGCGACAGAGAGAGAGAGAGGGAGATTGTGTGCTCACACAAGAGAGAGGATCGGAGGACGCTCCTCCAAACACGCATTATTATTTTCATAAGTTCATTATTGTTTCTCCTGGAAGTGCTCAGTCAGACCGAGTGCTGAGATGTCGGGAGATCTGGTCTAGGGGAGGGAGCGGAGTGAGTGACGGCGGCTGCAGCGTGTCTCTTATTTAGGGACACGGAGAAGTTAAAAGGAGAGAGAAATAGAAGATAGAATTCTTGTTCCACTTTATTCTTCTGTTTCATGATGACAAACTGATGTTAAATTCAGCAAAAGAGAAACTGGGAGGAAGCCTTGGTTCAGTTTAAGTTACAGGAGATCTTGTTTCCTATCTGTTCCTCCAGAGACAGCATGGACATGAGGGTTACATGGTGAGGGTCCCGCAGGACAGGTCAGTGCAGTCACACAGCCGAGCTGGAGGGGGACAGGCGCTGTTCTTCTTTATATTGCAAGCTTGTGTGTTATGTGCATTACAGCCAGCAATCCAAACAGCAGCAGCAGCAATGACCCCCCCCCCCCCCCAACCCCCCCACCCCCCAGCAGCAGAGAGGCATTGCCACTTTGTCGCTGTTCCTAACGCCTAGTAACAAAGCTAGCTACATTTCTGAGGACCCTTAGCTACTTTCTGTAGAACTTTCTTCTAGATATTTCCTGCAAATTAGCAACACAATAGCCATTTTCGCTCCGTTTCTGCTGTCATCAAGGATATAAAAGTTACAGATACAAAAGACACCACTGGTGCTATAGCTCACCTAGTAAGGCATTGGACTCTCGTGTAGAAGACCTGGGTTTGATTCTGAATGTGAACATAGTTTATTTAGAGTTTCTTTTACATTAATGGTTTTTTTTTTAACAGTAAGATGCCCAAATTTTTATTTGAGACTGGCCGAACGGCATTGAATTCACAGATAAAAAAGATGTGGGTTCAACTTTCATTTTGGAACAATTTTTCAAGCAAGGGAAGGGAATGATCTGAGCATGCAGGAGGACTAACCCATCATAAACCTTTGTCAGCTGTGCTGAAGAGAAAGGAACCAAATTATTTAATCAATTAGCTGTGCGTTCTCCTGTCCTCTGTCCTCCAGGCCACACACACACACACACACACACACACACACACACACACACACACACACACACACACACACACACACACACACACACACACACACACACACACACACACACAGGACTGTCTCAGCTGTTATTTTTGTTAAGGAGTGTGCACATACAGCATGCGCGCCTCGTGCACGAGCCTACTATTGAAGCTGCCATTACGCTTTTGGCCTGAGGGGGCAATCGCGAGCATAAAAATTCAAAACTCCGTAAAGTCGCTTTAAGAAAATAAACTGGAGTATGCCACGCCCACCCATTTCCCATTCAGGCTGCTATAAGCGGAGAAGCTCTGACAATGGGTGGTTCAGAGTAGAACTGCAGCTCCATCAGCAGCAGCGTTGTTTTCCACATTAGAGATAGTTCAATGCCGTTTCCCTGTTTGTGACATCACAAACAAGGACTTTTTTGAAATGTCTTGTTTTACGCACATAATTCCTAAAAAAGCAAGTATTGACAAAAATAGATGGAGTGTTTATAGAAGCAGTAGATACCCACATGGCAGCACAAAATAATGCACAAGGCAAGACTTAACACCATTGAGGTGTTGTTCTTGTCATGATTGGGTTTATGCTAGAATTTTGGCTTGTTTGTTGTTTTACCGTGAGATTATTATGTTGTTTATCTTGAGAGTCTTGGTTGTTTTGTTTTTGTTTGAGTTACCTCTCCATGATTTTAAATCTGCTTTCAATTATCTGGGAACACTTGGTTCTAGTTTAATTAAAGATAAATTAAGTGCATTTGTTATTAGGTCTCTCTAATTTTCAGTGCTTCAT